TGTTTAATACTAGCCCGAATACAATCAAGTATGAGTTTAACCAATACGACGAATCATAAAATATGATCTGAGTAAGGAAATAATAACAGTCCTCTCACTGAGATTCTGTGTGGAGTGGCTTGTTCATGTTAAAGATGACCTTGGAGGCTGTGTGGATGGGAGTGGGGAATAAGCGAGACATGTATAATTTGAAAAATGCTATTCTGAGTATACTGTAATAGGCAAAAACAGGATTATGATTACAGTAATTATCACTAATTCTAACTTTGGTATGTAACCAAGTGCACAGATTTAGAGGAGAGCTGCTGATCATGGCTGTGACTGAGGGGATTTGGGCTCAAATGGAGGGCCATCCTTGCATGCACACCTTAGGCCAGAATGAGCAAGCTCAACATATGGATGGCTGAAAAGCAGTCAGAGCTTTATCTAAGCTGTTTTCCTACAAGGTAATATTCATAGACTTAGACTTTTTTAAACAGAACCAATTATAGACGTTCCTGTATTGGGTCAAAATTCCACAGTGGAAAAGCCAGGATTCCACGAATTCAAAAGATTACACTGGTTAGATTTGATTCTTTTCACACTCACACACCTTCTCAAGTTCATCCAGATAGCAGTCAATAAAGTCTCGTGGCTCTCCAGGGACTCTGGTCTTCTTGTGCTCATTGATAAAACCAATTGCAATAGTCCCATAAGTCTAAAAAGCAAAAGTTGTCATTCACAAAGAAACAAAAACATATTCTTCCTACTGATAAAGTTTTTGTTAATATTACCTCAAAATTCTCAAAGGCCTTTTGAAACGGCAGTGGCAGGTTACGAATTATAGGGAACGAATCATAGAGCTGGAAAGAACGATAAGTGAGTTTTGTTTAATTGGGAGCAGAAGAGGCCAGTCCAGATTGGTAAATATACAGCTGTATATGTAAAACATCTGTATATTAGTTTTGTTACTGGTAGAATTGTGGGTTTAAGAGCTCAATATAAATTGTATACTTAATTGAGCTTTATTACTTCATAAAAACGTCCTCACCATAGCCCACGGTCCAGTGGCTAGCTTGGAGGTCTCAGTAAAGCACTGAACAATCTGTTTGATTAGCGCATCATCATACTCAAAGCGTCTCGCAAACAGAACCTGGCAGATGATGTTGGAGGCCGCATTGTGAAACATAACTCCAGGACTCATGGTTTTACCTGGTAATGTAACACAAAACATTACAGAAATAATGGCACAGCACAAAATTCAGTTATGTGGACACTTACCAACGCTCTCTTTCAGCGTACTAACGAGGTACTTTATCTCTTCATGAATCCGGTCCTCCATTGAGTGCTTCCCCAGACCAAAGTTCCTCAAAGTCATCAGAGCAAAGCGACGATGTTCCCTCCAACTAGAGCCATAATCTACCCAAATGACACCTACGACAGTAATAGCGACAAAGAAGGGAAGAACGTTTGGATAATCAATGGTGGCATTTTGTTCTTTCTCAGAGAACCTCGACTTTCTGGCTCATTTCACCTTTTATTTATGTCCAGTTCAATACAGCTCGATACACCAGCATCTCACTGGAGTTTCACTGCAGTCAGAAAGGACTGTTAACATCTCTAGCATGCATGCTAAAATTAAATCATTATTTAAACTGTGAATGATGCAAAGCTAGTCGAGTCCAGTTCCAGGATAACTACAAGGATCTTGAAATGAGAATAACAGGTCCATTGATAGAAGCTGCTCTGGGAATGCTAGACTCTTGCTGAACCTACAGGCTAGTACCATATTTTTTGGACCATAAGGCGCATTAAGCGTAACAAAACAGATAAGTCAAACTTTATTAAACTCATTCTTCTTGTTTCCTCCACTTCCGTACCATTGATTCATCAGTGATGAATTCTCTGGCCGCTGCTCTATTCCCATGTTGTTGCAGTATATTAATGACTAACCTCGTATTGTGGATGGATTATCTCAGTTGTTCTCCTGACTGAAGTTTGGTCACTATGGTAGCCGTAATGCTCCCACAGTCCATCAAGCGGTGCAGCTTCATAGCTTACCAAAGTCGTACTAAAACATTTGTTGACAGATTTTTGAGTGTACCACATAAAATCAGTTCAAGGTCAGTAAGCACAACTAGAATTCATATATAAGGCGCACTTTTGAGAAAAGGATTTTGAGTGCGCCTTTTAGTCCAAAAAATACGGTACAACAAAAAACATCTCATTAATTAGAAATAACAAACAAGATGAACCAATGTGGTTTGAAAACTTAGCTCAGCTTAGACTCATCTTATAATTTAGATTCAATTTATAACTTATTGCTTTTTACATGATAGATGAAGGTTATCAATAATAACGTAGTTTGTTGTGTTTTTAATTTGCATTCATGTATTTGTGTTGTTTTCTGTGATAAGATGAAGTATAGGACAAAGACATATTAAAGAGCAGTTTAACCCATGTCTGTTTTCTTACCATGATTATTTCCAAAACGATTCGTGTTTTCCCCTATGTATGCACTAAATAATAACACACTAAAACCTCCAAGATCAGTATCAGATATACTACCAGTCTGGTCTGGTACACTACCAAGTTTGGACACGCCTTCTCATTTAATAATTTTTGTTTATTTTTACTACTTCCTACATTTTATATAAATACTGAAGACATCAAATATATGAAGCAAGACTTGTGGAATTATGTAGCAAAGGAAAAGCTGATAAATAACTCTAAATGTGTCTTATATTTTAGATTCCTGTAAGCAGCCGCCCTTTGTTGACAGCGCTGCAAACACTCGGCCTTCTCTCAACGAGCTTCATGATGTCGTCACCTGAGATGGTTTCACTCCACAGGTGTGCCTGTCAGCGATCATTTGTGGAATTTGTTGCCTTGTTAATGGGGTTGGGACCATCAGGTGTGTTGTGCACAGCTGACAGCCCTATTTGACAACTGTTGGGATTCATATTATGACAAGACCCAATCAGCTAAGTAAAGAGAAACAACAGCCCATCATTACTTTAAGAACTGAAGGTCAGTCAGTCCAGGAAACACTAAAACTCTGACTGCTACCACAGCATCCTGCAGCAACATGCCATCCCATCATTTATTTTTAACAGAGCAATGACCTCAAACACACCTCCAGGCTGTGTCTGGGCTATTTGACTAAGAAGGAGAGATGCAGTGATGTGTCAGATGGCCTGGCCTCCACAGTCACCTGAACCCAGTGGAGATGGTTTGGGATGAGATGGAGCGCAGAGTGAAGGCAAAGGGCCAACAAGTGCTCAGCATCTCTGTGAACTCCTTCAAGTCTGTTGGAAACCATTTCAGGTGACGACCTGATGAAGCTCACGGAGAGAAGGCCAAGAGTGAGCAAATTTCACACTTTCTTTATTTAGTAAATAAATCCATATGTGTTTATTCATAGTTTTAAGTAGTCGTGACAGTAAAGAAAAAACATTAAATGAGATGGTGTCTATATTTTTATTTTTTTGTTGTAAAATATTGTGTAACACAGTGTATCATGTGATAGATAACAACTGTTCTACCTTTCCTCTTGGTGATATCATTAATAAAGAAGTCTTGGGGTCGTCCAGCAAAATCAGCAGCCTTAGTCACCATCGCCTCCTTTACGGCCTTCAGCCCATTGATGACTACAGCTGGTTTCTGGCCAATGTAAATACTGTAGACATCTCCGTAAGACTTCCTCAGCTGGGAGGGAACAAAATGACATGGCAGTGACTGAAATCATTTACACATATTCAGATCAACATTTCTTTCTAAAGGACTTAAACATATTTACCAAATTAGTTAAGCTAAGTGTTTCGGGGGAAGTACCATATAAAAACTTTATAAAGTTTATATATGTAAAAGGAACTGTACTGGTAACCAGTAAGTTGTTTATTGCATAAAGGTGCATGTTTAGCATGAACTTTCACAATTAGTTAGGGTTTTACTCATATTCTAAAAGATGTTAATGAGTGTGTGACCGATTAGAGACGCAGGTGTTATTATAGTTTCCATTTCCTAATTAGTTTTTATTTATTTAGTTTTTTAGTTTTTCCAGTGTAGTTTAGTTTCATGGTGGCATTTTCACTTTCAGTGTAAGATTTCTGGATTTCAAATGATTTCATTTACCAGTCACAGCTGTTTCATGGTTTCATGTCTTTAACAGTAAAACCACAACAACTTTTGAATCTGTGAATGTCAGGAAAATCACAATAATGTTAATTTATGTGTGACTTTTAGTATCTAAACATTTAGAGCCATTTAATACTATTAATAAATCCACTAGTGGGATAAGAACATGACATTTAAACACATTTCATTGCAAGGTTTTTCTTACCCTCTCAAAGTCCTTCAAGGGGTTCTCTAAACTCAGCTGCAAAATGGTTCCCAGTATGGGAAAGACTGGGGGTCCTGGTGGGAAGTTCTTTGGCCTCTTGGATTTGACCTGAAGGACGATAAAGAAAACGCAGATCCATAGCAGCACAACTGAAAGAAACATGGTCATATGAGTTGGACTGCACTGAGAGCAGTAGCTGGCTGACCTGATTATATACGCGTAACTCAGCCAGCTGTTTACCCTTTGCTCTATGTGAAAGGTTCGTCACAACTTTGAAAGAACAGCACACATTGCTCAACCACTTTTAGCATTCAGAGGCTAGTGGTGTCTATTCAATGCCTTGTTCTCCGCTTATTTGTTCTTTTTCTTTGTACTGGAATGGAAACCTTTGGTAGTCTAAGAGCACTGTGCTGGGTTTGATTGATACAGATGATGGAGTATTACAGGGGTAAAGAAAGTGAATGGCCTAATATCTCAGAGGTAGTTTATGAAAGAAAACTGTGAAAAACCTTTGAGAAAATATGCTGAAATATTTGAAAAAAATCTTGAAGAATTCTGTAAGATGTTTAAAGTCAAGACGTTGCTGCTGCCCTCACCATGCGATGTACAGTTTACACGGACAGTGAGCTCAACAAGTGTCCAATAAAACACTTGAGACCAGAGCAAAGTTTGAGGTAGTTTACTGGACCATACTTGTTAAACTGTAAGCAAACATAGATAAAGATAAAAGACAATTTCAGTGTAAGTTCACATCAGTCGCACACTCTATTCAATATATGGTCAAGTAAAGTAACTCTGCACGGTTTGGAAGCCATTTAACAGTGACATACTTAGTTCTGACTGGATAGTACCATCTGCCTCACTAACTATAATCATGAGACAATTAAATTACAAGAAAATAACAATCTGTGAATCATGAAATCAACTGAAACATACTTACAGATTGTACAAACTCAACACCAAATAATGCCTCTTTACACTGCTGTGCCCCAGAATAAAACGGTGGATCTGTTTTATATGCAGAAGTTTAAATTACTTTACTGGGATCAGTACACTCCCGGCCTGGCATCTATAAGATGCCAAATCCAGTAACAACATATATACACTAACAAACACAACAAGCAAACACAAACAAGAAGAATGACCTCTGACACAGGTCTCGGGAACAGTCACCATTTCTGATAATCTTTAATAGGTTCAAGGTTCTAGGTT